AGAAATTAGTTAAGTGATGTATAATAAAATCTTTTTAACCCTTCACGGGCCTTTAAAGTGTGGCATTATGGTATTATTTATATAGATATTTCATGTAAACAAAATAAAACCCAGCATGGCTGCATTTACCAATGTGCTATAACAGAAGCCTTTTCTCATTCCATACAGGGACAAAAGGATCCTAAGGAAAAGAAGCAATAAAAGAATAACTGAATTACAATAGTAAAATCATTGAAGGCAAATAGGGCCTCTGAAGTTCCATCAGCAGAAAATGAGGATGGATGAATAAATACAGCCTTTTTAATAGTGGTCTGCTACATGGCCAAGGCAAGGACTATTATACATTTATTGTCTGGCCTGATGAGTCAGTTGTTTGAATATACATTCCAGAAAAAATAGAAAGTCTGAAATCTGGGGTCCTTAGGGATCAGTGCCATCCCACTCTCTCTGTGTAGAGAAGAGGTATCAGCAGGGACTTGATTGGGGTCATGTAAAGTTAGGGAGAGCTAGGTCTAGAAGTCAAGGTATCTTACTCCCAGTTCAGAGCCTGCCTTGCCTCACTGGGTCAACCTGCTGGCCACAAGCCTCCCAAGAGAAGGGCCTGATTATAACAAGTGATCTTTCTTCACACATGGAGGTACAGGTAGATTGTACTTCCCAGAACAGAGCAAAAAGGTGGGGAGGGGACCTGGAGCAACAGAGTACAACAGTGCAAACAGGAGTACACCAGTCCACTGGAGTCTAATGTTTGCCTGGTCTGCTCCTTACTGTTGCAGTTACCCACTCTAAGACCACTGGTTCATCCCAGAATCGCAGAGGCAAAGGGAGCTTAGTGGGGAACTGGAACGATTCCCAAGCCAATGCAGAAATTTCCCCTAGAGGCCTCCTGGGACCTTCTGTTTGAAGATCACCAGCAAAGAGAAACTCCCTATTTCCCAAAGTAGGCCAGCTCACAGTGGATTGTATTTGCTGCTAGAAAGTTTTTTCTTTTATTGGCTAATATTGGCTTTTCTACCTCTAGCCCTTATTGGTCCTAGTACTATTCCCTGGAGCTTCGGATATAAAGGCAGGGACCATGTCCCCCACTTTAGTGGTGGCAGAAGAAAGGCACAGGAGCACAGTCTGAAGCCACTCAGTCAGAAGCCAAGGGGCCTGCATCTCCTGTACCAACACCTGTGTGCAGTAGCCTGTAAAATCCTGGGCTACACTGAGCCATGAGAAGTCATATGGTCTGGGCTCCAGCCCTAGAAATGCCTGGACCATACGGTGGGAATTCTCTGGAGAAGAAAGACAACATGCTCCCAAGGGTCTATCTGAATGAATCAGAGAGGTTACAGTCTCAGTCATTTTCTCCTTGATCAGAAAGTTCATTCCTTTCCTCTGATTCTTTTCTGGCCTCTGGCTTCATAAAGAAAATCCAAAAATCAATTGTGGCCGGCAAGTAAGAGAAAATCGTTGAATAGGATTTAAGCTGACCAAGTTATAGCCCATCCTCACTAAAACCATGGCCTGGTCATCTAGGCCACCTGCCTGAACAGAAGGGATCTATCCCAGAGGACAGCACCGTGAACACTGCCAGGTGTCATCTTACCTGTTTGAAGTTGCCATTCTTCCTCTGCTCCCAGTCCATCATGTCATGAAAGATGGGAATCATGATGTTCCGCACTTCTGGTTGTGGTACCAGCGTCACACCCAGAAAAGGACCAATCATTCCCGGAATAAAGTGGATCTTATGTTCACCTGAACAACAAAACCCAACAGATATTAATTCATGCCTACTTTCTCCTTCCATGGGAGCTTCCCAAATGGGGCCTTAGCACATGCTATGATCTGTACTGGAAGCTTCTAAGAGTAAAGTAAACTCTCTCCTGTGGTTTTCTGAGATACTTTCTCTCAGCTTTTTAGAGTTCATGGATAAAATTGGCCCAGGCTAGTTAAAGCAAATGTTCAATAGGCACAAAATTGCTTTTCCAAAGAATTTCCTGAAAGGTTCCATGACTACCTGAAAATCTCTATGAAGTCAAGGAATAGAGTTTGCTATTCTGGAAAGAATGAGTTTCTGAGTTAGCTATGACAGTTTCAGATGATCTATTCACAGCATTTATTTAGCAAGGAAAATCCGTATGTTTCTGCTTAAACACAATGCACTCTCCCTGGGGTTTCTACCTCTAGCCCAGAGGCTTTTAATTGATGAGGATATTCAGCCTCCACAGGTCTGAAGTTCATGGGCCTTTTCACTGCCTGTGTTTATGCATGCTGAAGAGGTCCACCTCCTGAGCTAGCAGAAGCCTCCTGCATAGCCCTGCTCTGATAGGCTCCCTTTGCCCACCCTGAAACCCCCTATCATCACATTGCATTTCTGATGACAGCACTTCACCTATTCAGCTCAGCTCAGCTCATTGCTCAACTTCCTTAATGAGGCCTTTCCGTGGTAAGTGAGTGATGTGCGTTTCCCTCTGACTGGCCTGCCATCTTGGGCATGTTACCTGAAGCCAGAGTCAACCCTGAGGACTGTGGGATAGGACTTTTCTTTTCTTGCAAAGGTGAAACAGAGCAAACCATCAGCCAGAGCTCTGCTTTTAGTCCTTCAGAGACTAAGGAGGAGACAACTTGTGGGCATGTGCAATGATTGCTACAGCCAAGTAAAACCAGTTCTTGGGGACCACAGAATGTCATTTCCACCAACAGCAATGAGCCAGGACTGGCTTTATCAGGCAAATCTGGCATCTTTTTTGATTTCTTCCATTTTGAAAGCCTTTCTAAGAAGCAGATGTTAGCCCTGAGGCTGATTCTGCATGTTCTAATCTTGGTACGTGGCATAATTGCCAGTCTCTTACATTCCTGGGAATTTTAGAGTCACCTTCAGGGTTAAAATCCATATCCAAACTGTGCTAGATACAGGGAATAAGAGTACTGAAGCTGGAAAGTCTGCTTGGGGAAATGCATCCCCACCCAGGGATAGAAGCCTCTACTGCTGGCAGGAATAACTCCTACCTTGCTTGTTGCCTCTACGTTAGTGGCAGGGATGGTTAACAGAGGACTAGAGGGTTTTATGACCATCATTCCTACAGGTTTAGAGCCATGGGCTCGGCTGGAAGCAGATTTCACTTGAAATAGTAACAGCAGCTTCTCTAGCACGCTGACAGGCCATTTACAACCCTAAAGTATCACAGGATGGCCCACCCAGTCACTATGACAACCCAAAAATTCTACCCAAAACACTGATCTGACAAGTTTAGATTCAAAGCAGTGGATATGATAGAAGCTGTGCAAAGAAGGGAAGTCAAAATCAATCTCACTCAGAGGCTACAATTCCCTTCTCACATGTTCCTTCATGCAATTAGTGTCAGGTATCTGATCTGGATGCATGAATAACAGAGACTCAAGAAGTGTTTCAATCTTTATTAAAATTAATAGCCTCCTTTGTACATGTACTGAGTACCTCCAAGATCTATGCTTTTGAGCCTACAACACCTAGTCTGGGGCAAGAAGAGCACAGAGGATCTTACAGTCACATGTTCTCAAATTGGAAAAAAACTACAGGAGTTTTCCTCTTCTTTTTTTTATTTCCTTTTGATTTTAGTTCTCAAAAAATGGATTGTGCGTATGTATTACTGGGGTCTTATTTCTCAGCCAAATTCTCCCTGCCAAGGGCTTTATGCACATATGCTACACCATCCATCTGAGGTGTTATGTTAAAGATATGTAAGGATCTTTTGGGTCTGAATTAACATTTATAAAGCCTTGGAAAAATTATTAGTCTTATTTCTTTCTACTTGGCTATGCAATATGTGGAAGGGAAGAATAGGGAGAAAAAAACCTACCCAAATTCTGCCACATGCTGAAGAGTTCATAAGCCATCATCACACGCATGTCCCCATACCTGGGAATAGTAACAGAGAAACCAGCTGTTAGGAGGAGAAGGTTCAGGAAGATAGGGCTGCAAACCTTATGAGGACAGTACTTCAGCACTGTTTGTTTCTAATGCTTCCCCAAATGCTAAGCCATTTGGCTCTCGACTGAACTCTCACACGTGGCCTCTTGGAAAACTACCCAGCAGAGAACCTTGTGGACTTCTGAAGGAGCCTCTTGTGGAAACATAGCCCCATCTGGGTGAGTGGTAGGGAGATGAACAGGAGACATCTGTCTTACTTATCTAGAATCTTCTTCCTTTTGGCTGAAGTGATGATTTCTAGCTGAAGGCTCGGCTGATTTATGAACAGAACTGCCAGGCTAAAATAAGAATTCCACACCTACAGAGACAGAGAAAGAGGAAACATTTGATATTCTGAGACCTTAACCTTATAGGGAGAGTTACTAAATGCAGGCATGTAGCAGAGAATCCATTTTAAAATCTTAAGATAGTGATGTTTTTTTCCTTTTTAAATATCTTTGCAAATAGGATATTTTTTCCCTTTTACTTTTTTGACTCCTTCTGAAGCCAATAGTGTTGACTCTGGACTAAAAGCACACACATGGATGTCTGGCTCCCAAAAAGGGGGCTCGCAGGTCATATTATAATCACCATCAGGCTTAGAAGTTTGAGACTATGAATGTATTAATAAAGAAAAACAAGTAAGCTTGGTTTTTGGATTTCTAGAGTAATTGCAAAGATAGTGATGGATTTCAGGAGCACATACCTTAAAGTCAAAGTCTGTCTCTGTGAAATTCTTGTGTAGTGCAGAGGACAGGTACTGGACAGTAGTGACTATAATACTGCAGTGAGGGAGCAAGGCATTGCAGAATTAAAAGACCAACAATGACATTTGATAGCTTGGCATCATTTGTCTATGGCTGTGTACAAACTTCTTGAGTAAATTTGATTCCATGTAAGATGTGACTATAAAGGAAAGGGAGGATGGCACAAACTCTACAGAAAACCAGTCTTAGAGAAATGCTCCATAGTTGTCAGGCTAGCATAGGACATTAGTGGGTTCTAGATCTAGCTCTGCCATTACATGGTATTCATACTTCTTCTATCTGGGCCTCAGTTACCCTTCCTATAAAAGGAAGGGGGTAGGGTTCGATGATTCTTTAAGGTTTCTTCTAGTTCAAAGAGTGATTCTAGTATTTTTAGGAACTTGGGTAATCCATACATATAAAGATTACTTTGTAGGACTTAGAATATAATTTTATTTCTTTACTTGACAATGGGAGTTTATAGTTATTAAATCCTTGCTTTTGTCATACACTATTATTTTCATCTATGAGGCATTTGATTTCAGATCTAGAGTCTCACCCTCAATCTTAGCCTGGGCATAGAGGGGACAATAGAAGGCTGTCCTGCTGGAAAAGGAGTGTGAAGTGGGGAGAAAGTGAAGTGGAACAGGTAGGTGAGGGTTTGATTACACAGGGCTTTGGCTGCCTGGCAAAGGGACTTATGTCTCACATAAACCTGGTTCTGGGCTTTGCTGTAGAGAAGAACAAGGTAAAAACAGTGCATTAGAGAGACTAGTCTTACCAGCAGAGGGGGTGACAAATTTAAAGGATAAAAGCCTCAGAAGAAGAGGCTATTCCTGCAGGATAGGCTGGGGAGCCTGAAGTGCTCTAAGTAGAGCTAAGAGGTAGAAACAAGAAGGATTCAAATGGAAAAGTCACTACTTGAGAAAATATCTGTGCAACTTAGTTTATAACCATTCTTCTGTTCTGTATAAAACATTTTGCAATTTTGGAAAAAGTGGTAGTGTCCTATAAAAGGTACAAAGTGGAAAGAACATGCTTGGACCATGCTAATATATCTAACAAATTATTTCACTACATTCTATATAATGCCAATATATAATAAAAGGCAGATCAGTAGGAGGAGGCAATGGGCTAGAGTGTGGAGGCCAAGTAGCTTTTTCCTGGGTAGAGGGAGACCAGATGAACCAGCTCCTTGCCAAGTATATCACTTGTCTGGTTTGCCAAGAGGAAGCACAGGCTAGAAATATGAATGGGGCAGGCAAGTTAGCATTATCCCTAGAGCAAATTCTTACAGACAGGTCTCAGGTGGGTAATTGGCACTAGCAGTGGGATGCAAGCTCTGTCTAGCAGACAACATAACTCAAATTGAGAAGACGGCTTGGGACAATGCGTAAAGCTCCAAAGCAGAAGAGGCCAATAGGCCACTGAGCAGGCCTTCCTCAAGAAGGAACCGTTCTTTGGGTATTATATTTCACACCCTTAACATTTCCTTTTCTATCTTTACTATGTCATCATCCATCAGGCACTTAGACTCCGTTTATGGCTTGTCTTTGATTCTCTCCTCTCCTTGTCTTTCTATCAATGGCCAAGGCTGCTAATTGTGCCTCCAAACATTTTTCCCATTTGCCCTCTCCTCTCTGTTCCCATGGCCTTGGCCTTCATCTCTGTCTTGCTCATGCTTTTTCTCTCTCAAATACACACATACTTCTGAGCACAGCTCTGTGGATGTTGATACAGGCCCCTTCCATACTCACTTGCTTGTGAGCAGTCTCATTACCATCCAGTCCCGAGGGAAGACGCTCATCTTCATCAGGTTCCGGAACACACAGAAAATCTTCAGCAAGAATTCCTGACCACAGAGGAAAAGCTGATGTGACACACTACCTCCACAGTGCACATTTCCTCAACAGGCACCCCCGGCCACTAGACTATGAGAATGGGTGGGACCAGTGAGTTAGATTCTGGTTTCATCTGTGAGTTGCTTCTCTCGTAGAGAGCTATTAATACATGAAAGTGAGCTCTGGGTACTCTCACAGGCAAAATGAGAGCAGACCCAAATTGGACAGAATGGGGGCAGCTCTATACCCACTCTATACCCACAATATCCAAAGCCTAAAGCATAGGGCAGATGAGAGTCCAGCAGAACTGGTATCTGACTGAGTCCATGGGCCTCATTCTCTGGGGCATGGCCTCTGAGCACTTGATTTTAAGAACATGCCTTTTTGGATATTAAGAACACATTGCTGGGAGAAGCAATTCAGAAGCAGTTCAGGAATGCCAGAGTATAGACTTCTGAAGATCTGCTCCTCCATGAAAGCAATGGGGTGGCTAAGACTGGTTAATCAAAGGCTTGCAACAATCTGAGGAGTATTTATTCAAAAAAATAGATAAATCTCAGCAAGAACAATGAGCTTTACTGCATTTTAACTTGCCCTATTTCCATCCCCTCTCGTTCCCTACCTCCACAGTAACCTTGAAAACAAGCAGCTGTGGAACCATGGCAGTTGTGAAAACTAGGGGCCTAGCAGCCATTGGAAGGGACAGAATAGTTTTGGAAATCTTTAAAAAGCCCCATCCCCAGAGAATTGTTATTATTTGACCTGTTTGTTAGCTTCCCGGAAAAGCACCATTCATAGGGCTTGTCTTAATTTGACTTGACTCAGCGCTCACTCATTGAGTGAAGCTCTATCCCCAGGGCATTTGTTGAAAAAAAAAATCAGCCATATAATTTAACATCCCAGTTACATGAAGCAGCCATATCATTTGAAGCAAACAAGAGAATGGCCAAATAACTTGAAGGAAAATCTGAGAAATGAGATATCCATAGGGGGCCTTGGAAAGCCCTGACATATACCTGGGAATCTAAAAGGCCATGCACATGTGCAGGGTTGTGTACATTTTTGGGCAAGATAGGCCCTAATCTCTCACCTTTGGCTGACTTGGAAGGCTAAGGTAAAGCTGTAAAGTGTTAGAGCAATGAAGGTGAGCTCCAACACACACACACAGAACCCGTTAGCAAAGTGTGGAGACTTATTGATTTAAGTAATTTAAAAAAATCTCTGTCCAATTACTAGCTGATCATTAATATAACTGAACAGAGACTTTGGTGGCTGCACACAATAAAGATATTAAAGAATGAGTCTCTTAATGTCACTAAAGAAAGAAAGAAACATCATCAACCACAAAAACAATAACAGGCCCTGGGGATGTGGGAAAGGGATCTGATTTCAGGAGTAGCCACATTATTTAAAATGTCTGGTTTTCAACAAAAAATTATAAGACATAAAAAGAAATAGGAAAGTATGGCCTATACACAGGAAAAAAGAAGTCAATAAAAACTTTCCCTGAGGTAGCTCAAATGTTGGAATACCAGGAAAAAACTTTTAACAAAAAACTAAAAGAAACCATGCTTAAAGGAAAGTACAAGAACAATATCTCACTAAATAGAGGGTATCAATAAAAAACATAGAAATTATTTAAAAAGCATCAAATAGAAATTCTGAATTTGAAAAGTACAATAAAATGAAAGATTCACCAGAGGGGCTCAGAAACAGATTTGAGCAGGCAGAAAAATCAGCAAATTTGAAGACAGGTTAATTCAGATTATCTAGTAGGAGGAATAGAGCCTCAGAAACCTGTGGGACATCATTAAGGGCACAAACATACATATAATGGGAGTGCCAGCAAGAGAAGAGAGAGAGAGGGGAAGAAATAATGCCCCAAATTTCCAAACTTGATGGAAAAGAACTTTAATCTGTACATCCAAGAAACTCAATGAACTCCAAATAGGATAAAACCAGAGATCCACATACAGACATGTCAGAATCAAACTGTCAAAAGCAAAAAACAAAGAGAATCTCTTCAAATCTTGAATCTTAAAAACAATAAGAGAAAAACAACTCATCATGTACAAATGTTGCTGAATAAGATTAACAGGTGACTTATCATCACACTTAATGGATGCCAGAAAGCAGGCATATTCAAAATTTTAGAGGAAAGACTGTCAACCAAGAATCCTATGTTCAGCAAAACTATCATTCAAAAATGAATAAATTAAGACATTCTCAGATAGGAACTGAGAAAATATGCTACTTGTAGACCTGCCCTATAGAAATACTACAGGGGGTTTCCTGAAAATGGTGGATTAGCAGTGACCTTCTAGCTCTCTGCTCCCAGAGAAGGAGGTGAAGAACTCAGATGGCTACACATGAGTGGATCGCTCCTCCTGCAAGAACAGCATTGTGAATCTGCAGAGAAACAGCATGGGACACGTAGCGCAGGAAAAAAAAGAAGGTGAATGGGAGATACGATTGCAAAGACTGGAGAGTGCGAGATATACAATAGGGAATAGAGTGTGGGATGGCTGCACCCGCCTGGCCAGCCAGTGCAGTGTGATCTGATCCACAGGAGGACGCCCCGCTCCTTCACTGACCTCTACATCCATTCTGACAGGGATGCGCCTGAATTTGGTGCAAAGTCGTGGCACGGGATGACAGGCTTTGTGGAGAGGAGACAATAACGGGAAACATTTTGAACTCCCTGGTACTCTGTGCTAGGATCTCACTGGGTGGGGAGGGACTGGTCTAAGTGGTCACATCCCGCAACCCCAGGGGGGAGTTTGGAGACAGGCACCTCTCCTCTGGTTGTCAGTGGGACCAGAACAGAGGTGAACGCGGAAAAGGGGGCTCTGTTCCAGGAAACCACTGACAATTCGGCTGGCTCAGGGCAGGACAGAAAGAGCAGGAGTTGCTGCTAGGCAGATGTGAGACAGTGGGACTATGATGCAGAGGGGGCAGCTAGCGGCCTGTTGATTCAGCTTGCCAAACAGGCATCTGCCAACTCCTGAATGGTCACTCCCTGCACTAACTCTCTGTGGGGTGGGGAGGGGGGCGGCAGCCATTCTGGGGGTCCGCAGCCTGGAGACACTGCATCCTGCTGCAGTTTCGGGCAGCACCTCTCCCCCAGCCCGGTGACTTTCACACCGGGTGTGGCGGACTCCACCCTTGGAGGTAGGCAGAAGCAAGAAAAACCATTGTCTCTGTGTGGCTGACGAGAATCCACCGGACTTTGGTGCTGAAGAATAGTCCGCGACCTGTTGATTCAGCTAGCCAGGCCGGTGTCTGTGGGCGAATCTTGAGTGCTTACACCCAACACTAGTTTTCCAGGGGTGGGAGGCCACCATCTGTGGGATTCCCAGATGCTGGGGCACACGGTGGTCTTGGTGGTCTCGGGCAACACCCCTCCCCCAGCCCAGTGACTTTTATGCCAGGCACAGCAGGCTCTGACCTTGGAGGTGGGGAGAAGTGAGAAAAGCTGCTTTCTCTATGCGACTGGCGTGAATCCACGGGGCCCCAGTGCTAAACAGTTGGCGGCCTGTTGATTTGGCCCACTGGACTGGCTTAGGTCATCTAATAAGAACATAATTCTAGGGCTTGCTCTCTGCATCTCAGTGGCTGCCAGCATTGGGGTGTGTGGACAGGGAAGGAAATCCTGGCAATTGCACCAACTGATCCCTCCCATCAGGAGCAGCTTCCCAAGTGTGGTGAAAGAGCCCTGAATAACATATTAGAGGCTCCCCCAGCAGCAGATCAAGCAACCACAGAAGCACACACACCAAGGCTTGCAGGCACCAGCTGCGATCTATCCTGCCCTTACCCCCACTTAAGAGGGAACAGGGTCCAAGTAACCCTCGGGAGTGGCAAGACCCTTCCCAAAGATTGGGGCATTGGTATACCCCATCTGGGGGACCAGAGCCTAACACAGAGGCATCAGATTACCTCAATAACTGGCTCCTCCATGCAAACTACAATCAACAACAGAGAGGGTAATGCCATAGCTTAACACAGTGCCTTCTATCTCAAGCTATAAGAGGGCAGTGGAGTCATACACACAAGTGGGATCCACCACCTGGGAGCTTAAGCTGGGGGACCAAACTCACTAATCTCCATTGGCAAGAGGTGAAGACAAGAGGTCAGAGGTAACCCGACTTGCTAAAATACCTCTAAGGCAATACAGGACCAGCACGCCTCTTCCCAGCACTGTCAAGGAATATACCCCGGGGACTTGGAGATAGTGCTATAAATCAGTCCTACCACCCCTAGTTCTCGACCAAGTAGCCTGATGAGAAAGAATGAGCGAAAGAACGCAGGAAACATGAAAGATCAGAGAGAAAAGATCAGCCCCAAAAGAAATCATTAGACTCTCAATAACTGATACCAATTTAAACGAAATGATTAAAATGATGGAGGAAGAATTCTAAATATGGATTGTAAGAAAACTCCATGGAATTGAAGAGAAAATAGAAACCCAACATGAAGAAGCCTCAAGAACAATGAAGGAAATGAATAAAAAATTCTCTAAAGAAACCAAAATATTATGAAAGAACCAAACAGAAATACTGGAAATGAAAAAGGCATTTAAGGAACTACAAAACACAGTGGAAAGCCTTAAGAATAGAATAGATCATGCAGAGGAAATAATCTCAGAGCCCGAAGATAATGCCTATGTGCTAAAAAAATCAGATTAAGAAAAAAAAAACACAGAAGCAAGAAACAAGAACAAAACATACAAGAAACGTGGGATTATGTAAAGAAACCAAATACAAGAATTATAGGCATCCTAGAGAGAGAAGAAGAAAATACACAAGGGCTGGAAAATCTACTTCTTGGAATAGTGGAAGAAAATATGCCTGGCCTGGCCAGAAATCTAGATATCCAGATACAAGAAGCACACATAACTCCTGGGAGACTCAATGTGAAAAGGCAATCACCATGTCACATAGTTATCAGGCTGGCCAAAGTAAACATGAAAGAGGCAATCCTTTGAGCAGTAAGATGAAAACAGCAGATG